AGATGCACATACATGCCCTCTGGTTTTTGCCTCTGCAGTATCACAGGCACAAAATCCCATCTCCATCACCTCCTCCTAGCTGAGGGCTGAGAACAGAAAGCGGCATGTCCTCACTGCCCCTTCAGTTCCCTGTGAACTGCAGAATCCCCGCAGCAAGAACCTCCAGAGGACTTTCCAGAGGGTACAAACAGGGCAGGAAGCAAATGCACATGACACACACTGAAGAATTAAATTTCTGGTAAATAATTCTTCTGCTAACTTGAGTCGACGCGAGCAGCGATTCCAAAGAGTAACACATGCTGTTGTTCATATTCATACAGGGTAGAAGGTACCACAGACAACACTACCGATCTACCAACCGCAGCAATAGCTCGGGATGCTTCTCAGGTGTCTTGTACTTGGTACAAATGGAACCCAGGGGGCTGCTCAGGTATCAAGAGGAAAATACTTCAAGGCCCACAGCGGCAGATTTAGCTTTAACAGACTGCTACAACAAAAGGTGCCTCTGTACTCTGTAGTCCTCTTGATCTTGCAAAAAAAACCTAGCGCAGATAGTCTACTGAAGCACCTGGTCCCGTTCTCACTACTTATTAAGGCTGTGTGAAGTGTTGCCTAAATCCTGAAGGCATGAAGCTTGAAAGGGGGAAATTCATCCAACAAAAAATTTCAAATGGGCTCTCTCTGGGCACACTCGATGGAGGTGACCCATGACAGTGGCCCAAACCCCTCCCACCCTTTGCTAGATGTTAACTACAGCCAAGACATTTCCACACACCGTAAGGTCATGTCACTATGGGTGGAAAATGAGATTTCTGGAATTTGTATCCCAACAGATAGCAGAGATCTTTAAGGGCAAATGACTGGCTGAGGGTAATGTTGCAAGGCAAGGTGGTTGGGGGACGAGAAACAGCAACGGGCAGGAATGGAAGCTAGGCAGGGCCTCAGCCAAAAGAAGGCGGCAGGCTGTATTCAGGACATTTTCTCAGAGTTAAAACAAAGACTGACAATTGAGCAAGAGGAACAAGTACGCGGTTTGAGAACCCAGTCGATTTTACCATGTAAGCTCAGTTACACAAAGCCATTCTTGCTCTTAATCATTGCCTCTCTTACAGGAGGGAAGCAGGCATGCTCTGCTGAAAACAGCAATCTAACTTTGCTGCTGTAAAACAAAACACAGCAAGAATGGAACGGCAGAGTCCAGGATTCAGTGCTACCACTTCAGGGAGAGAGGCAAGGAACCCAATGACAATCAAAGACGATTCCAATGTCAAAGTCCTACTTCAGTTAAAGATAGGGCTCCTCATAAGGATAAATGCTTCTCTCCACCCAATCCTGACAATAACTACTATTCCATCAGCAATTCTGTATCAGTCCATTTGACCACAAAGCCAGTAATGTACCCACTAAAGATTCACCAAACTCAGAAGCAGAAAATTTATCATGAATGTGATATTCCAGAAGGAATAGGGGAAAGGAGAAGACAAGAGGCTGGAAACTGACAAAGGACGCAGATAAGCCTGTAACTGCCTAACTGCTACACAGCAGCAGAATGCAGAACATCCTGGAGCGTTAGACAGCATCATCTCCTCTCCCAGAGGGCTATGCAACGAATGGAATATTCTTTCCAAAGTCCTCTCGGGAGCTGCATTCATCAGCCTGCAGGACAGGAACTTGGTTCTCTCGTAAAACCTGAGGAACAGCTCTTGATGGTACAGGCAGGAATTCCCCTACTTCCAAGCCTCAGGCTACAAGAAAAATCAGATCAGAGTAAGACCAGAAGTGCAAACATCCCTGGAATGACTGAATGAAGAACACTGTGGTGGGTAGATACGATAGGGTCATAATAAGATTGCTGCTGTGTGAAAAAAGGAGAACGCCCAACTGCTTTGGAAACATGCTGCTTCTAAGCACTGAGAGAAAACAGTCATAGGGACCTTGGCCTTGCTTCCACATGGCAGCTAAACTCCTTCTTGACAGAGTCTAAACCACCGCCGGGAGCATACCCACTGAGGTGAACTTGGGGAGGTAACGGTACTGTTGTGTCTGGCCAGAATCCACCATGGACACTGAAAGGGAAAACAGATGGCCTGATGTTGCCTATGAGGAAGCTGGCTGTGGTGGCCAACTTCCACACCAGATGTGGTAACAGCATTTCAGAAGTTTGAAGTAGAATGGGGAACAGAGATGCTTCAATCTGCACACTCCACAGCTGAGAACTGGAGCAGAACTTTGTTTTCGTTCCTTTCTCTTGAAGGGAAATAGCTTAGACTGCTTATTTGTTCTGGAGTTGGAGGGTCTAACTAGGTCAAGACTAGGACTGCCACATCTGCATGGGATCCAGCTGCACAGCTATTAGGACACAGCAAACATTTTCTTTAGGGCATTTTCCTGAAGCTGCAGCTCCTGGTCCTCCAAACCCACGGCTAGAAAGCTCTGACAGAGCATCAACCCACACCCAGGCAACCGAGGAACATCACGTGAGGGTTTTGGCACAGACCCACACAAGTGGTATATGACAGAGGGACACAACTTTTAGAGTGGCTTCTTGTAACAGGACTTGTAAATGGAGTTACAGCCAAAATCAGACAATCACAGGAAGCCAGTAAGTATGTATTCAAAGAGTATCACTATGCTCCCAAGGAGAAAACAGAAGTAAAATTAAAGCAAACCGGTCACAAGGTGCTGCTTTTCCACCAGACGTTGAAAGAAGCCGAAATACCACAGTTCACGCACTGCAGGCATTAAACATGAAGGAGACAGGTGACATAGTAAAGATTCTGAGGAAGCAAAGCGTTCCTTGGTCTAGAGAGAGAAGATGCACCGTTTGGCCAACACTTACACAGGCTATTCCACAAAAAAACACTCTCCACGGGCAGTATACCAGAAATTGCAGGTTACTACATTAATGTCTTAATTTCTCAATGCTCAGAAGAGAGAAGCAGATCAAACACGACTTTGGACAAGCACATTAATTGGCAATGTGCTGGCACAATACTGACAAGAACTGACATAAGAGCGCCATCAGAGAGGTGACAGACCACTACGCCTCAGCACTTTAACGGGGCTAAGAGGGGAAGCTCTCTCCCATCGTCACTGCCACTCCGATACAAAACCCTGACCAGAAAGCAGACACTAATCTACATCTCAGCCCTGTATTCATATGACAGCACGCTGAGGTTAGCTTAAAGGGAAAATAGAAAATTATATACCAAGCCAGCCTCCCATAGGAAGTTTAAAATAGCAGCACTATCATCACTTGCTTTTTTTTTTCTTGAAGGTGAAGAGTGATACAAAGCTTAAAATTCACTGTCGAAGCAAGAGGGAGACTCAGCCTTTCCTCAGCACAGAGAAGCACCAGTCTTCCTCAAGCAGGCACCCAGGGTTCACTTGTCCCCAATTGCATGTTAAAAAAACAACACTGGGTAACGAATGAACGCTTACGTAATTACAGTGAAGACAAAGAACTTGAGCTTTAATGTGACCTGAAATTAATAAGGTCACATCCACAGCTCGCATGAACAAGGCCTGAGATTTTAGCATGAAGTAACTTCCAAATGCCTTGCCTTCATTGGTTGGGTTTGTTTCTTTAACCTTAAGCTAGCTCACGGAGGACAGCCAGGCTGAAGTAGAAGTATGCTTGTAATTCACTAAGAAAGCAAAATTATTTTTAGCAATGATGGAAAAAAAAAAAATTACAATCAAGCAATCTTCCAAATACTTCTGTAATACAGATAAGTACATTGACAGATATTAACAAAACCCAGATGGAATTCTGATAAAAGAAGCTTATGTTAGATATCTTAGATATTCTAAATGAAATCTTATTTTCTTTTGTTTAAAGTTGGTTTCCTTTAGGAAAAAAACTTACATTATTTTTAAAAACCAACCAAAAAAATCATTGCCCCAAATTTTTTTTCTGGAAAAAGAATTCAGAAAAAAATTTTAAAAAAAGAATAGTATCTATTAAATTTTTTATTCAGAATAGAATTTGATTTCTTGATCAGCTGCAATACATTTATTTTTTCTTTCTTTCTGAATCCATGGTCTTTATTAGTTTTGCACCTCTGTATCATAAACCAAATATTTTTCAGAAGCAGAAGCAGACTAAAAGCAGTGAAGTGTTCCAATAGCAACTCCCTCTAACAGAAGCCTAGCAAAGCCACCCTCCATAGCTCTCAATATATTCTAAACTACTTGCATAGTGTGGTCTCTGGACTCTTGCCTCCCCTGTTTCGCATTTTCACTGTGTAACTGTCAACATTTCTGTAAATTATATTAATTCCACTTGTTAGTACCACTGATTAATTCAGTAATACTTCCCAGGAAAAAAAAAAAAATTAAAATTGTACAAATTCACAGATCCACATCAGACTGAAAGATAATACTTTGAACGTACAAAGATGTGTTGGCAGTAATACAAGGCATCATCTGGAAGACGGTGTAAGTACATATTATTTAGAGTACAGAACTACCTAAGCTCCTGTTTTCAGCCCTCCACTAAGACTTGACAGAAAATAGGATTACCTCTTTATCCAGAGTAGAAATCTGCAACATTTTATAATTAAGAGTATTATTTCTTACTGAAAGGGGACACAGTCCCTGTTCATTGGTACCTATCCTGATATAAGCTGTCAAATACGGTTCCAAAAATTAGGAACTCAAATTCATACTTATGTTCTTACGGTACAGGTGCTTTGCATCTAAAAAAACACAGAGCCCTTTACCTAGAGACGCCAACATCTATTTCTTTATTAGCGACTTTCACAATCAAAACAAAGGCAAATCTAAACAACCACATGGGTGCCTAAAATTCAGAGTGATGTTTACAGTTTAATAACGAAGACCACGACTAAAGCTGTAATTTTCAGTCAACAATATTTTATTGAATTTGTTATTCAGTAACCCTATCAAAAATATGTGTGTAACCGTGCAAAAGACAGGAAATTGGTTAATAAATTTCAACACAAAGACAGAGAATAAAGTATCAGTATACACATTACCTTAGCGTTCTCAAGTAGAACTTCATCTCTACCTAAGCCAGGTCCTATGACAACTGAGTGCAGTCGTGGTAACCACTTTTCCACCTCATGGACAGCATTGGGACTATCACTAAATAGAATTGGGGGAAAAAAAAAGACAAGTTTAAAAAAAAAGCTTCATTTTAGTATTCTCAGAATCTGAGTTGGAGATGTAAGACAGAAAGAGCTATTTCTTATCTCGAGTGTCAGGCAATTTTATCCTCCAAACTACCAAAAATCGGTGACCCAGGAAATATGGAATGGTTGTCCAAATAGCTAAAATGAAACAATTTCTCTCGATTCATTCCTTAGGGGATACCACATAAAAATGAGGAGGTAATTGCAAGTATCCACTATGGTTGTTACAAGATAAAAAAATAAAACCCAAGCAGGAAACCAACAATTCTTCCAGTCTGTCACAATTCCCTATTTAATGCTTCTTCGCAGAGATTACACCTTAGAGAGATCCACCATTTCGCAGGTATATACTGCAGCTTGCTGAAAACGATGCAGTTATTTATTACCCCGCATGGCAAAAAGATGAATCTACTCATACGCTTTTCTGTCAGTTGCTTCACAAGCATTTGTTTCAACTGAATTACGATCAAACTGTCCCCTTTCCCCAAAAGGCAACAGGAGAATCAAGATATTCAGTAAGGGTATTATCTGCTTGTAATGCTTAAGATTTCAGAGGCATTCAGGTTTTGTCTACATTGGAAAAATGAGGAGAAAATCCACTGTCAAATATAGCCGCCACAATACAGCATTCAGCTGCTGACCAGAACTGTTTATTTTATTCTGATCAGTTTTGTTGTGTAAATAGGTCAGAATATTTTGAAAGCACTGCCCAACAATGTCAGTTAATCCTTACTGACAGTACCAAGGGAAAATTCAGCCTTCCTCCCTTCTCTACCTCTGACATAAGTGACGACAATAAATGAAGATTTTAACCGAAGCATGGGGAATAAAGCTCCCTATAGGCTAAGCAAGGAGGTGCGATTTGATAGTATTACTCAGAATATTTTGAGCTTGCAATACTTCAACAAAGCTCTATTATTACAGATGAAAGCCCTTGCATGTTTTTCATAACCAACAGCTGTACTGATGGGACGCACCACTTGGGAACAAGTGTTTAGCCCGCGTCTGGCAGAATCAGCAAATTCCACAACGATTTCTGCAAGTGCCAGGCAGGAGCCCAAAGCTTTTGCAGCTGCACCGAGCGAGGCGGCCGGCTCAAGGCTGCAGGGACGCAGTGCCTCGCGCCTGGCCGTGGCCCAGCAGCCCTTCCACCGACAATAGCTGCTTCAGAAATCCCTGGCTGCAGCAGGGCCAGCTCCCCAAGGCGCCCTTTCCTGACAGCACAAAACAGCTCTGTCAAAACAAGGCTGCCGGGTGGAAGCGATGACCCGCTGCAAGGGCAAGGGAGACAACGAACCACGTGAGGACACTGGTGGCCCTGAAGCAGTCCCTCGATTAGCAAGCTGAAGTTGAATTTCCATTTGAACGACGCAGCTCCCTCCCTACTGCTCTAACTCACAAGGAAACAGCAGTAGCTTGAGAATTGCCGAACAGCTCACCTTTTTGTTGTTTTTTTTTCTTTGGTCCCTGCACAAACACTTATCAGTTTACAATGTAGATACAGGCTGGAAATAAAAATGGTCCTGCTCTGGCAGGGGGGTTGGACTAGATGATCTTTCGAGGTCCCTTCCAACCTCTAACATGCTGTGATTCTGCGATTCAAGGAATACTTACAGCACTATTAAAAAAAAGCCAGTTCTTTTATATGTGGTAGGTTGAACATGTGAAAAACTGTCTGTGAACCAAACTCTAATAAAACATCACCATTTCTGAACGCAGACCACTTTTTTATTTACATGCTGAAACTGATTTTATCTCTGGAAGAGCAGTATGTATCTCAAATATATATATTTCTCAAATAAATATCTCATATCTATCATATAGATTTAAGAATACTGATACATACATACATATATATATATGTACATAAAAAAGGATGTTTGAATGGATTTGGCTCAAAATACCTTTGGATAGTAGAAGTCAAATACATTAAATAAGCATTGCATTAAACTTAAGCTGAGATCAGAGCCATAGACACTACGAGAACTGCTCTGCTCTTTTACAAATATCATGCAAACAATCCAAATATAGAAAGTTTGCCAATTTATTTATATTCAGGATTGAAGTAAGATAATTTTGTCTCCAACCCAACTGATAAATGTGCACTCTTTAAAACAAAGCTACCTCTTGGGAAATGAACAGTCCAAGATTAAGCCTCTCCTGCTCACTTTGCCTCTGGTAATAATAAAAACCTACTGTAGAGCTTTTAATCTTCAAAGCATTTTACAAACATTACGTTCGTGTAACTCCTCTGCAACTTCACATCAAGAAGCAACCCAAGGCACATGAAGGGCCAAGAGATTTAAAATGGTGATAATGATTACTACACTGCAAAATCAGCTACAAAAACATGCTGTAAAATAACTGATGGATTTTGATTCTTCATAAAGAAAGCAGAACAAATGCTGCCTCAGAAAAGCATCATGCCAACTTCACTTTAAGATCCTGGATGGTCACAAAAGCTGTGGTTACGCAGCTATGGACACTTTACAAATATCCTATATCTACAGCTTCTCTGAAACTGGAAGGGCTATTGTGTCATCTTATAGTTTATTCCCACACAAAGCCATCGAAGTAGCAGCATTTTAAAGCTGATAGGGTACAAATGATCAAAATGTAACTTTCTTCAGGAAGGGGTGTCACCTTGAACGTTCCTGACCATGCGATTTAGCACAAAGCCAGAAATTCTTCTAGCTCTTAAAAGCTACAACCTACACACAACATTTAAATATACCCAGAAGAGTTCTCTGACAGGGAGGTCAGCTGGCCTCTCAGGCTTCAGAGCAAGTAATGCTCAAGCAGCCCATCAGACACAGTCAGGGCCATGGTAGTTCCTCACTAGTGGAAGAAGTTGCTGGGAGAGGCTAGTTGGCATAGGCCAAAAACCTTGCCAAGGATCATTTGGATAATTTGCCAGTACAGATAATCATGTTTGGGTACCTCACAAGAAATATTGCTTGGCAGCGTTTAGTTTATTACTACAGAAAAAGCCAATGTACATTCCTGTTTGCCTTTGTGGATGAAAGCCAGAAAAAAACGCACAGAATGCAAGTCAGGTCCCTAGCTGTTTGCTGTGTACTACGCTCACACAAATAACGTTAACTTCCTTTGTCCCTTCATGCCAATTTCTCCACCTGATTACTAACCTGATTTCAAACCTCTCCATTTAATTATCACCTCCACTGCCCAAAGCATGCATGTACAATCAAAATTAGCACTGTATTTAAAAAAAAAAAAGTATCTAGAAAGGTATGAGGTGTGAAGAAGATGGCCCCTTGATTAAGAGATGCAGTCTTCAGGCTTTGATAGAAAGGGATCAAGTAAGCAATTTGCAAAAGCGTTGCCTTTAAAGGTGCAGAGCCATGAGATATATGACTTGGATTTTTTCCAAAACAGGAATCACAAATGCAATACATCTACTCTAAAGCACAAAGCTAATGCTAATATAAAGAGGAGTCAGAAAATCTCTTGCAAGGCCACGAGAAAACAGCATGTGAATTTCTGAAAAGAGAGTAAAAACCTTTGAACAAGACTTTTAACTAGAAGTCAGGTATTTCCCAAAATAAAGCAAGCTTTTTTGGAAGGTGATGGCCAAGAGATTGGGAAACAGTCTGGCTTTCCCATAATTTGAAAATACAAACTCTGCACCATGGACATACACAACAGGAATAATCTGGGAAGCCAAATCCAAGTAGTAACACCTGTAAACATGGCCAGTACCATTGTGCAGACATGTGCAATTAAAGATTCTGGTGACAGACCACAGCTGCAGATTTGCAGGGAATGAACAGATCGTCAAACAGCTATTTAACTTCCAGCTAAGCACCCACGTGTTATGTGACATGTTATCAGATGCATTCTGACGAAAATCTAGATTATGACAGCTTACTGTTGTTCAATCAAGCAACCAAACAACACCCCTCCAAACCCCGAAAGCTTCCTTGAAGTCTTAGCTTGTCTGGAAAGCAAATGATAAAGCTCTGACTGCATACAGAAAAGAACTGTCAGAGAATAAACATGCAACTGCGAGACAACAGAGTCATTAATAAGGAAAACCGAAGGAGCTTCTATAACTTGTCTCTGTGAAGTTTAGTAGGTAAGGAAGAGTCTAAAGCTAATGTCAACAATCATTCAACTTTACGCACCATCCATTAGTCAAAGCAGAACTAAACAAATAAGCAAACATACAGAGTCTCACAGGGGAAAACACTATGAAAAAGGACCCCACTGATCAACCTTCCTTGGCTATTAGTGAAAGGTAGGGCAGAGAGACAAAGCTTTGCTCAGTGGAGGCCGAGAAGACTGCGATCCCATAGGAGGACAGACAACAGCTTTATCATTTGCCTTCCTTGAAGCCCTATGCAGACAGGGCCAAGGTATGGTGTTCAGCATCTTGCATGTTTATCTTTTTGTTCTTTTCTCAGTCTTCAGAACGTACTGAGTACTTTCCATGGCAAACTCCAGAAAGATTCTTCAAATTAAACAGCACTGAGTCTCTGAAATGGTGAGGACAATTTTTCTTTGTGAGTTATTGTAGCTTTAGATAAACTTCTGCCAAACAAAAATCAATACACACTGAAAAAATTCCTCTTGTCTTGCCATCAATTATTTTTGCATACAGGAACAGCACTGGTTTGCTTATGGTGCTTATGGCAGTAATTGCTGGATTCAGTACTGCATAGTCTCACTGCTGGCTCTTAATGCACAACCCCCTCGTCTCTTATAATACCTTTCAGTTTTGAAACGCTAATATAGAAAATAAAAACTTTAAACTTTAAGTCAAGTATTTTGCTCTTCAGGACTCTTCTGCATTTCACTATCACACAATAAAAATGTACATAAAACACAGTTCTGTAGATCTTCATCTTGGTGAAAATTTGATGTAACAACCTTTCCAAAAACAACAAAGTGCCTGAAAAAAGATGGTGGCTACTGCCTGAATATCACCCACAA